ATTTTTCAAGTATTAGTTTTAGTTTATTGTTAAATGTTAAGACTTATGAAATAGTTTGATATGAGAATCAGAGGTAGAGGACCCCATGGTTGTAAAATCATGGGTCCGCCTCTGGTGCTATTAATATGAGTTTTACACATTAAAGTGAAATGTGCTAAATTTTTAGATTCTGATTTGTGGCATGATGATATACTTGATTTTTTCTAATCTATATACTCTATACAAAAGCAAAAGAAATCTGAATAAAATTTCTCAAAAAAATTGCCGCATCATGTTGTAACTACTAGCTACCGTTGATGAGCTTTTGGTGAATAATCGACGGCTGTAAATTTGGTATTGAAGAGGCGCACATATTTAATGACATCCTACACATTTGGGAAGCCGCATTAATCATTAGTGTACGACTGTACGTCATCTTTAATTGAGAATTGGGAAGCTAGAGAGACGCACTCATGCAACTTTAATTAAGTAGTGTCATCAAATTAATTTTTTAAGCGGCAGAAGCTTAAATGCATGATCGTCCACATTTGGCAAAAGCTTTGAGGATGGCTCTTCCCTTACCACGCCACCACTATGAGGATGTTCTTCCGGCAGAGCTATTTTTATAAAACTTCATTTATAATTGGAGGGCCTGGCAAATGCTACCAATTCCTTTTTTAGGAAAAAAGAAAAGCTACCAATTCCTTTTTTTAGGGAAAAAGAAAAGCTACCAATTTTCAACAATTGTAACCATCTTCTCGAAATTATGTATTTTCAATTCTTAAACTCCAAAACTCTATTCTCAAAATCTTATAAATCAAATCTTAAATTTCCCATCATCATTCCCCAATAACATAATTGGCTGGGTATAAAGAGTGAATAGCTAAATTGATGAATAAGTATGGTTTAATATCAAAATAGTAGATAAAAATGTTTTTCTTGAAGAATATTATGCAGAAACTGAGTAAAATCGCTGCCCATTGATTCAAAATCACAAAAAAACATTTATAGATATTAGAAAGTGAGACTTTTAAGGGAATGGAGGCTCCAACTTTGTCTCAAAATAGACATGCACCAGCTTTGATGCCTTTTCAATATTCATATCCCGATATTATATTCTCTAGGGTACATCATTGGTGTATTCCAAGTATAACCCCAAACATTTTATAACATACATTTTGTAATGTAAGAAAAAAGAAAAAATAATAAAAATTTGTGGCTCAAAATATTTGGGGTACATTTCTTTTATAGAGTACTCATTGTATTCATTAAAAAATACAAGTTGACGATACATGTTGACGAGTGACAGAGGACAGTGGGGTGCGGGATGGGGAATAAGGGTGATTAGGTGGGTCAGTGGGTGGGAGTGGACTGACGCAATAGATGTGGATGGAGGGTAGGAGGGGATAGGAGTGGCAGAGTGGGAGTTGACGATGGGTGGTAGAGCAAGAGCGGGCGGGTGTGGGAGGGGTTGAGGTGGGTGTGGTAGGGCAGGAGCGGGTGAGGGAGAGAAAATATTTTTTTTGTTGGAAAATACTTTCTTACCACTTATGTTATCAAATAGGGAAATTAAAAATTAGATCAAAATTTCCTTTTAGAATTCAATATTTAGAAATAGTCCTATACCGAGTAATTATTTTTTTGAGTGTATATATAGTCTTATTATTAATGATGTTTTTTGCACAACTTATATACGGAGTACTACGTATTATTGATGATTGGTCATTAGGTCGTATAAATCGTTCCTTATACTTTTATTACTGAATTGTTTGCAAACACTTCCTCTATTGCAAAAAAAAGTTTTTATAGTTTAATTTTTTGGGTCAAATTTTGACAATAAATTCTAGAAAAGTATATTTAATTTATATAAATTTAATATAATTATGAAACAACTCCATAATACTCTTGAGAAAATAGTAACTCTATGGTAATACAGTGGTTAACCACTATTATATAAAAAGTGATTTACCACTTATAGTCCAATATACTCCCTCCGTCCCAAAAAGATTTACACCTTTCAAAAAAATTGCGTCCCACAATCTTCTACCCATTTCTATTAAAAAACCACTTTTACCCCTTACTTTTTCAAACTCTTCCTATCACATCATACCTTTTTTCAAGTAATCTATACATCACATCCTACTTTTACCCATCACATCAAGGGTATTTTTGGAAAGTCAATACAAAATTATCTCTCCCTTAATTTCAACTTTAGTCAAAACGTGTAAATCTTTTTGGGACGGAGGTAGTAGATGTTAGTTTTAATGAATACGGAGTACTCGAGTAGTTATTGTTGTAATATTACTGCATAAGTTTGTAAGCATTGACTTTGTCTAAAATTGTTTTTAGCATTGACTTTGTCTAAAATTGTTTTTTTATTGCTATTTAAAAAAACTGTATTGATATGCTATTTAAATATTAGTTTACTTCGTTATATATTATGTACTCCTAATTCTTATAAATAAGGTTATCATTTGAAATTGATATGGAGATTTAAAAAAGTAAAATTTTATGGTTGAAAAAGTGATACAAAACTAAAAAGATGATAATTATAAGGGTCACTTCTTTTGAGATAAATGAAAAAAGAAATATAAAACTTTTTATGAGAGAGAGTGATTATAAAATTTTATCGAACCATTAGCTACTCCAATTATTTATATGTAATGTTGAATTTGGGTCTGTTTGGGAATAACATTAGAGATTAGCGTTAGAATTTTGAAAATGTTATCTACGGATAACGTTTAGTGTTAGTGTTTTCAAAGTAATTTGTACCGTTAAAATTTTATTCAAAACGCTAACGGTAATCTCTAACGTTATTCCCAAACAGGACCTTTATATTTAATGACACACAAATAATTATTTATTAAACTTATCATAATTCACATTTTCAATTAAATTTCTTGCCGTGCAAAGCACGGGTATGAATCTAGTAAATATTCAAAGAAGGGTGTTAAGGTAATTTTATTGTTTTACCTACCTTACATTACCTAATAAATATCCAAACACAATTTTTTAACTTATTATATATCTTACTTTACCTACTTTATATTACCTACTTTCAAGTATCTACCATTACCTACTTAATAAAATTTTACCTACATCAAACCAAACACAGCCTTAGTTATAAATGAGCATTTTGTGAACATACTTTAGGTCTAGATCAGATGATAGAAAATACTAGAATAGGTTCTATTTGACTTACATATAACAAATATTTTCAACGGAGGACTATTTAGCAAAGACATCTCAATTACAAAAGAACACATTCATAATTATTGCTTATTTAAAACTAATTTAGAAAGATACCTTTTTTAAAAATGGCCTTTTTGAAAATTTACTTTTTTTTAAAGATACTCCTTCTGTCTCCAATTAAATTACAATTTTTTCTCTATCTCGTTTCAATAACTTTTGTTTGTTTATGCGATTTCATTAAGCACTTGATAAAATAAAATATTTTTTTCACTTCTTGTTTTGTAGAATTTTAGACGTAGTTTTTTAATATATAATTTTTATTTTTTATTAATATACCAATTTGCAAATAAAATAATTTCAAAACGTGAGATATTTCTCCTCGTAAATTCGAATTTGTAATCAAATTGGGGACGGAGGGTGTATATAAAGTAATAAAAAAGAGAGTAAATTCTATAATTGGTCCTTTATAACAGGGGGGTTTCCCTAATTAGTCCTCTATTATCAAATATTATCCAAGTGGTCCTTCTTTTATGGGTATCTTTCTACAAATAGTCCTTTTTTTGATCTTCTATCATGTTGGTGTTAATTTGAGGGCTAAAAGTATAATTTCACAATGATAATATATCTTTTTTGTCATTCACAATTTCAAAAGTTGTTCTGTTTGCGTCGTTTGTGAATTACAGTCGCTTTCTACTACAACCATAATCTACAAATGTAATCTTTCGTCAGAACCCTAGCCCACAACCATAGTCATTATTTTTGTATTATCCGCTTAACCAGTATCAGAACACGTCACCAAACATAATGTTAATGTCAAATTATACTTTCAGCCTTTAAATTAACACCAACACGACAGAAGATCAAAAAAAGGATCATTTGTGGAAAGGTACCCTTAAAAAAGGACTATGGGGGTAATATTTGATAATAGAGGACTAAATATGAAAACCCTCTATTATAAAGGATCAATTATGGAATTTACTCCATGTTTAAGTAATTGTCGGGTGAGCAAGACAAAGGGTGTCCAATAATTGTACCTTATTGATTCATGATGGTAGGTAGCAACTAGTGCGTACGTGCCTTCATTCAAATAGTCTATAATCCCATAATATTTTTATGGTTATTTTAGATTTTTAGGAGTGTATTGAAAAGTATATATCAAAAAAGATGGTATAACTTGTGATGTACAATTTGTGGAACATTTTTTTGAGATACAAGTAGCGTAATTCAAATTTCTATTGACACTTTCAATTACAAAGTTATTGAATGGTAGAAGTATTTGGTTAATATTTGTTAAAAAGAAAGCCAATTGTTGATAGTCGTCACATATTTATTATGAGACAAATTCTTATGTCTTTCTTGGATTCATAATTTTTTATGGACATTAGTTTTAAAAAAACATTTAGAGATTGACTTTTTATAAAAGAATAAAGATTCATTGCAAACTAATGAAAAATGTGAAAAAGTTCACATTACTAATAATATGAATATTAAGATTACGAAATTACAACTCTTATTATAAAAATAAGAAATAAAATTGGTATAAGTCCTATTTAGCATCAATTTTAATAATTAGCGGCAACGTTTTGAAAAAAATTATCAGACCATAATTTTTAATGGCAGAATTTTTAGAATTAACGAGGCCATAAAGTATTTTTGTGGCATCTCACTAAGAAATAAAAGTGTAAAACATTTTATGAGTAGAAAAAAAGTACAATGCTACGAATAATAATGACACATGGAAGAAAAAAGTAAACACGTGAAAGAATAGCCAAACAAGTACCAACATCTTGAATTGAAGCTATATATAAACACATTCATCCCTCTAGTGGAAATGCACCAATGAGCTACAAACTAGGCACACCTAATCACAACACTTAGCTGAAATTTGAAAAGTGAAAATAAGCAATAATGTTGAAGCCTGTGCAGACCACATCTACCCTCCCGCGGTACAATAATGGAGCCTTCGTCTCCGGCGAGACGACGACGTTGGCCGTTGCTTCTTTTCCGGCCGTCGTCCTAAGGCCAACCTCGGGCAAAAGCCGGTTGAGAAAAACGGCCGGCAGCAGCCTAGGATGCGGAGGAAGAGCTGGGTGCCGCGTCATCAAAGCGGTGGCTTCAACTACTGCGGTTTCTGAGAAATTGGCGACAAGTGTTAAGGCCGTTGTGACGGTCCAGAAACCATCGGGAGGAATTCTCAAACACTTGAGCTTGTCGGGAGGGTATGACGATTTAACTGACTTGCTTGGGAAGTCACTGCTTTTGGAAATCGTTGCAGCTCAACTTGACCCCAGTAAGTACATACATGCATACCCAATACACCACCTCAAGCCATGACATGCGTTGGCGGTCGTCGATCTAGGCAAATTAAAGCCTATGCATCTACCGCTTAAGACCCACTTTGACATCAGCCTTAACGTTGGTGTTAGCGTTTCGAAAAAACTATCTGACGATAATTATTGGTGTTAGTATTTTTAGAATTAATTCATACCATAAAATTTTATTCAAAACGTTGTTACCATGTTCGAATGACGCACTCCCTCTGTCCCATAAAGATAGGGAATGTTTGATTAAATTGGTAAAATAAAGAGAAATTATTTTATTTTGACTTTTCAAAAATACCTTTGATATGATGGGTAAAATTAGGATGTGATGTGTAGATTATTAGAAAAAGGTATGATGTGATAGGTAGAGATGAAAAAGTAAAGGGTAAAAATGATATTATAATAGAAATGGGAAGGACTTTTAGGGACATGATTTTTTTGAAACGTGAAGGACTTTATGAGACAGAAGGAGTACAATATTTCATACTCCGTATCTTTTAAATTTACTTATACTCCATTCGTATAAAAGTTCTTTTTGTTGCGTGCTATATGATATTTAATTGTAGTTATTTTCAAATTATTTTGTTATGAAAAATGATGTGTTATTAAAAAAAATTAATTACATCAAAATACCTTCAAAACTAGAGATGTCATTATTATACTATTTTGTCAATATCGTAAAAAAACGGGTCAATCATTTAATCATTAATTAAATAGAGTTTGAAATAATTTAATATTTTGGTGTATAAAAATAATTAAGTTCTTCTCTCAATTGTTTGTCTAACTGGTGTAAACTAAATTCGAAATTAGTAACTTTCATGGATGAACTTAAATGTTTATTTCTTTGTAATTTTTTGAGACTAACCGATAAAACTCATCCATAAAGCTTATTGGTTCTGACTTTATGTTCCACTAGGAAGACTAAAAATTGAGAGAAGAATGATCATTTCAGTTTTAAATTTAGAGCTTCAAACTCAGCAATATATTTGAAAAGAATACAATTTTATCCACGTTCTTAACATAAATGTTAATAAAGGACCAATCAGGAAAATGAATAAAATAATTAGGAACTAAATGAGTAATATTTGATAGATAAAGACTAAATATGTATAACGACCTATAACTGAATACCTTTTATGATATTTACTGAAAACAATTTATTGAGACTTGAGAGAGGGGAGTAGTCTTTTTCACTTTTTAGTCCTTCCAAAACACGTGACACAGTACATTCAATGGGTCCCAATACAATTTATTGCCACCCTCAATTTGTACTTGCGGACGGATTTGCACGTGACTAATTGCGAACAGACGAACAGTGAGCTTCTCCCAAAAAAAGTTACTCCGTACAATAATGTTAGGCATGTTAGCCGTATGGATCATGCTAGAGTTAGGTCCCGTTCCGTTCAACTTATTTTTTCTATTTTTTTCTTAATCTTATTAAAATTAGATTAGATCAGATCTAATCAGATCAGATCAGAACCAATCAGATCAGATCAGATCAGATCCAATCAGATCAGATCTAATCAGATCTAATAAGATCAAGTCAGATCCAATCAGATCAGATCTAATCAGATCAGATCAGATCCAATCAGATCAGATTAGACCAGATCAGATCCAAATAAGAATTATTATTATTATTATTATTATTATTATTATTATTGTTATTATTATTATTACTACTACTACTACTACTATTATTATCATTATCAATATCTTTATTACTCCTTACTTTTTAAATTCCATATTTTTTAGTTGTTTCACTTAATACGATTCTTTTAAAAAATAAATTTAATCTATATATATACAAAGATGAGAGCCACATTTGAACAGTGTTCCCGCCTAAAAAAATTGGGCCAGGTAACACTGTTCATGAATCGGATAAAGAAGTTGGGCTGATTGCACTACTAGGCTTTTGAGTTGGGTGAGGCATGTGGATATAGGCTTGCTTTAGTAGGCTTTTACTTTATAGATGTGTTAATGATAATTACTCCCTCCGTCCTATAATGTTTTTCCAGTTCATTTTATGAGGTTTGACCGACTTTATTTTCAATTCAATTTATTTGATTGTAGGTGTAAAATTAAAAAATAAAATTTAAATATTTAAAAACTACATCAAAAGTTCCCCAAAACAAGTTGTGACAAGACTATATTATTTTATCAAATACTTAATGAAAATAGGTAAAGAAAGTGATTAAAGTGAGTGGGAAGAACATTTTAGAACGGAGGGAGTATTTACTTTTATTGAAAGATGTGCTTTAAACATTTCTATCAATTTACTACGAGCTAAGCATGTCATTGATAAATGTACCCATTAACATAATAGATTTCCAAATCTTTTGAAAAGTGTGCCATTATTATACTTCTTTTGCTTTTGTATCTAATTTGATTATAAATTGAGATTTATGAGGAAAAAAATATCTTTCTTTTAGAAATAATTTTATTTATAAATTGATATATCAATAAAAATAAAAATTATATATTAAAAAACTACGTCAAAAGTTCTACAAACAAGATGTGACAAGAATATTTTATTTTATCAAATACTTAATGAAATCGCATAAATAAACAAAAGTTATAAAGAAGAGAAAGAGAAAAAATTATAATAAAAAGGGAAACGGATAAAAAATATCTTTCTTTTGGCAAAGATTTCTTTTTGTATAACGCCTACCAATTCCCTCCGATCCAATGTACTATATCAATTAAAGTATAGTTGTATTATGATTTTCACGGTGATTTTTTTTATAAATTATTGACCGTGCAAAGCACGGGTACGAAACTAGTTCTATTTAAAAAATATAAGAAGAAAGAACATGAAACTTTTTGTGTGATTATAATTTATGTAGACTAAAATAAATGATATGAAGCACAATTGTTTTCTTAAAAATGAAAAATAATAAACTTTAGAAATAAGCTAAATAGAAACCTGAGAAAGTAATCTTTAATTATTAATGAAAAATGTATTATTTCTTTGTTTAACACTGATAATATAAGGATGTGATCTTTTAATAAAAATATTAATGATTATTAAATAACATTTTAGTGCATATATAAATTAAATAATTATTCTAATGTTTATATAAACTAATTATTAAAATATTAAATCAATATTATTCATTAAAAAAATCATAAAATAAAAAATATTATTACATTATAATATGAATGATTATTCTAATATATGAGTTAATTAATTTTGTTTCATTAAAAAATAATCATAAAAAAATATTGATTATATTATAATATGAATTATCATTACAATTTTTAATCAAATCAGAACCAATCAGACCAGATCAGATCAGATAAAAACACATCAGATCAGATCAGATCCAATCAGATCAAATCATATTAGATCAAATCAGATCAGATCAGAACTTATTAAAATCAGATCAGATCAGAAAAAATAAGTTGAACGGAACGGAGCCTTACACCCATAGTTTTAAAATCAGACCGGGGACCGAATCGGTCCGGGTACTGGTTCACTGGTTTAGTGGTCGAACCAATGGTTCAAGTGATCGAATAAGTGGTTTAAACGTATTATACACACACACACACACACACACACACACACAAACATACGTATTTTGTATAAAATCAAAATAACTTCTTTCATATGTACATAAAATTTAATGATATTTGATTAAAATTTTAATTGCTCTAATTTATTTTGTTAGTCAATTTATATTAAAAATAAAATTTACGAATCGAAAAATACATTAAAAGTTTTATAAAATAATGATATTTTATTTTTCTTTATATATTTTTCCTAATATCTAAAAATATTAAAATGAATTTTTTTCGTGACACGTACGCCGTATTAGAATTATTTCTATTTTTAAATGTTAAGAATCTTAGTTTAAGAAATAAAGAAATCTTTTAATTCATATTTACTCTTTTAATTAAGGGAATATATACTACTTAAAACCAACATGTATCAAAAAACGATCTTGCTTGGTTGGTTGATAGCTTTGGATAACAACCAAAGTTAACATTTTGCCCAAATTTGCAAAAAAAAAAAGCTGGTTCGGCCGGGTGAACCGGCCGGTTCTTACCGGTTCACACCGGTTCGAACTGGTTCATGCGCGAAGCGGTCCAAAAGGCTGGACCGGACCGGCTCGACTTCTGGTTCGCCGGTTCCCGGTCCGAACTGGCCGGTCCGGTCCGGTTTTTAAAACTATGGTTACACTAAAAATTGTACTCCATTTATACACAGCAGTTATACACAAACATTTTGATGGTTTACACCGACACAGGTATTGGTGCGTTAACAAATATTTACACAAAAACAAAGTATTGATGTGTTAACAAAAATTAGTTTTACACCAACACAAAATATCAATGCAAACTTACGGTGTACAAATGGTATACAAAAAGTTGGGGTACAAATAGCTTTATCCTAGCCGTATACCTCATCTCTCTACATCAAGCTTTTATAAACAACATACAAATACACAATGTCAATATACACACAAACAACAAGTATCTCTGAAAATTTTGATGTACAAACGCAGTAAATGAAATTATGAATTTGTTTAGGAGTAACATTTTTTATTAACATTAAAATTTTGGATAACAATTTAATGGTGTATATTAATTCTAAAGATGTCAACGCTAAAGACTCTCGTCAGATAACCTTTTCAAAATGCTAACGTTAATTTTTAATGTTGATGTCAAACAGGGCACATATACATTTAGCATTGCCCAAAAAGTTATGAGTAGAACGACGGGCGTAGGATGGATAGTACTCCCTCTGTCCAGGAATGATGTTTCCGGTTTGACTTTTCCTCATTTTTAAGAAGTGTTGACTTTAGCATTAAAATGCCCAAAACACCCTTGCATCCCCACCACTGCCTAACCCCGTGCTAGAGTTTTAGCAGCCAGACCACCACCTCCCCAGCGTCCACCACCGGCCGCCCCACCCCACCCTCTCCTCAGCCCCGACCGCCCCATCATCACTGCATCTGCCAGGCCCGAT